ACTTTCGTGCAGTCATTATTTCAATTTATATTTAAAAGAGGGGTGTGCGATAGACTTACCTCCACGTGGTGCACCCTGGGCAACGTATACTCATACGGCAAAAAAGTCTATTAACAGGCAGTTGACTTCTGACTTCAAACCACCATGACCCTACTGTATGTCATATTCGACCCCTACCACAGTACTCACCTTACCTTTTTCTCTACCTTTGTGTCTGTCTGCCTCTTTTACATCCGTGAATCGCTCGACTTTCTTCTACTTTGATGGACCTTCCCACCGTGAAGCCCGAAGTCAGCTAAATGGCTAATGATATCTATCAAAACGCCTGCCATTTGAAATAAATAAATATTTAAAAGAATATCCACAAAGTTAATGCGATTAATAAATAAATGCCTTTCTGAAATACCACACAATAGAGAGCTGAAAAGAGAGCTGATGTGAGGACAAGGTATGCCAACCTGATTAGGGCACCAACAGGGTTTCGGTTAGACCAGATCATCTTGCATAAACTAATCAACGTTAATTTCCGAGTTTAAAAGTGTGAATAGCACCTTCCAGAGAATGAAGTAGCAAATTGCTAAAGTTCATGGAAAGAAAAGCAATATTGTTCGTCAATCATGGTCTTCAGTGAGAACTTTCTACGCTATATTTTCCATTGAAATTCCATGAAATTCAAACCCTTTTTAATAGATCTTTTAATAAAAAGTTAAATATTCATTCTTATGAGACGAGAAGGGAACTGCAGTTTGCATGAGCTCAGTCTCTCTTCTCTTACCAATTTACTGTTTTTGTATCCATTTATCCGAATGACAACCACTGCACACCAACCATACTAGTAAAAATGAGAGTATTATTTGTGCAGCAGCAATTCCAATTTCTACACTATTTTCAATTTTGTCCGCACCACGGTGAACGCGTAACCTCCGAAGTGTAATTTTCTAACATGTCACCAAAATTATAGCTAACCTTATATGTAGAAGCTTAAGAAAAGTTTCCATTAAACTGAAGGAGAAATTGCGCCCTAAACGTAATTATATGTCGTTCAAAGCTGATTGACTTCTTAATTAGGGAGAGAAGTTAGTCATATTTCATTTAACGATTTGCTTTTCAAAACTGGGCACGCAATAGCTGGCATATTAAACAAGACCCTAAAGCACTTACAATTGAAATAACCTTCGAAATTAATTCAATATATATATATAATGCCATCAAATGCATCTAACTTTAGGAAGCACGTGATATTTGTTGCATTTTGTCAGTCTACATTTAGAGCAAAATGTCACAATAAGACATTTTATAAAAATACGTTCTTCATATAGCGTGATTCTTAAAGTGCCCACCTATTGTTAAAGCTAAATTTATCAATTTAAACCAAAGGTCTCGTTCTTCAAAATTATTTCTATCCTTTCTTTGCCGAAATTACGTAAAGCATATGGGGCTTCAGATTTTGCATTATAGATTATTTTTCCAAAGAAAATGCCAACGCAATTCGAATTAATAATGTCAGTTGAACTTGTGGCCTGACCTAATCAAGTCAAGTAAAATTTACAAGTGAGGAAAAAATGTGAAATTTTGGCCAACATTGGCAAATATGTAGATCACCGATATTTAAAAGCTTTCCATATAACTAAATAGGACGATATATTTTAAAATCGGCATGATAACTTTCGGTTTCTTTCCTTATGTGTTCATCTTTTTTAGTTCAATTTCAGTGATCACAAATATTACCTTTTAGTAAAGTTACAAATTAATTTTTTAAGCTTTAACACCAGAAAAAAATGAAGATACTTTCGAAAATAATTTCAGTGAGAAAAAATTTTGAGGCAAGGTGAAATTTCAGTGGGGTAATGAAGAGGTTAATAACACCTAGAGGTGAAATTGAAGTCACTATCTCAACAATTTATTTCTTTCCCTCGTAGAAGCAGATTTTAACGTAAGAAATCAGTCCAGCCTGACCCAATTAAAACTTTCTCAAAGCCATCAAATGAAACCGGGGCACTGATTGGCTAAGGTCTTGGTAAGCCAATCACTAGTGCAGTTAATCGCAATTGCCTCGGCATAATTAAGTTTTATCCGTCTGGGAGGTCAAAGTGAGCAAAAGAAGGCAAATTTTCCTGCAAATTAGATTTTACCCAATCCTAAAACTACTTCCAAAAAGAAACAACATACAAACACTTGCGCACACAACTGTGACCCTATTGGTTGTCACAATGACGTCATCCACGCCCAGTGTCCTCGTGCCTGCACCAAACCTCGGCACAGCTGAACCGCCATTGGCCATCATTTACAACCTTCGTTCTGGTAACATTAGTGTCAATCCCCTTCCCGCAAACTCGGATTTAGCACCCCAGGATCTCTCTGAATATCGATTGACTGTACCTGTTACAACGGTCCATAGAAAATCCGTTAGCTTATCAGACGACGAGATGTTTCGAAGTTGGTCATCGAAGCAAAGGCGGAATCACAGAGGAGATGAAACAGAGGAAGCACTATCTCAAGGAGACAGAGGAACAAAAACACGAGGAATACAACGCCAAGGATTTGGCACAGAAGCATGGCGAATACAGAATCCTACCATGATTGAACAGGTGCTTGAAATGGAGGAGAAGCTTAAAACCACTAATCCCTTCCCAAATCCGCTTCATATTCCAGCTGGAAGTGTACATTACTCCCCACCTCGTATTGTAAAACCAAAGAAGGCTTCACAAAGTGCCAAGAAGAAGGCCTTTGCTCCAAAGGCATTCACTCTCGGAGGGAGACGCATTGAACCAGTTCATTCTGATGAGGAATGGTTTTTGGAAAGATTACTAAGGATTTTTGCTCTTATTGCATTCGTGCTGACGTTGCCTTTCTCCCTTCTCTTTTGCTTCAAAGTAAGAGTATTTTCAACCCTCTTTCCGAAAATCAAGAATTTGATCTTCTATGTTTTTTCGGAGAGCTTTAAATAAGCCAGTTGATTAGTCGTGATTGAGTTCAAAAACAATTGAGTTAATCTTTAAAATCAAGTTCGTGTTCAAAATACTAACTAAGAAGAAATTTAAATGAGGATCGCTTCTATTTTTCTCAGGAAATTCTTTTGCTTGTTCATTTGCGCTTACAAAACTGAATTAGATTTAATTAAATCAAAGCTTCCAAGAACTCAAAAAATTGAATTTACAATGGAAATATTTATTTCCCTCAAGCAAATGGTAATTGCTAGGTACATAACGAAAAAGTGACGATTTTTTATTGGGCTTTAAATGAGCTATTTTCTTAAATGTTATATAATTAAATAATTGATAAACATAATGATCATTAAAGTGCTAAGTTAGGAAAGGTTACAGTAAATGTTAGAGAGAATATTTCTTTAAATTATTTTTCCCATCTATTGAAATGTATACTTTCCTAATTTTAGATCAAGTTTGGGATCACTTTGGCATTATTGTGAATAGAAAGTTTTTCATTAGCTACATTTTGGTTTGATTTTGAATTTGTATTTCATAAGTTATTTTTCAAAATCTTCTCTCGTTATTTTAAATTTATCAACTTTCATCATCATTATCTCAGTCCATTAGAACCAGTATTCCTTATTCAAATCGATTCTTAGCGATAGTTTTTATATCGCACTTGTTTTATCGAAAAGATTTTCTTCAAAATATGCAGCTCTAAATAGCATTGACAAAGAAAAGGGAAGATACTCAATAGCACAAAATTGTTTTGATATTTTTAAAAGAAAGCGAAATGAAAGTGATTTAATTACCTTATGCCAGAGGGATACCCAATAAAACATTTATTTCAAATAAATTTCGAAGCTGTTGGGTAGAAAGACTTTGAATATATCTTTAAAGTTAAGCATTTTAAAGAATTTCATTTGAAACAATAAATCTAAAATTGTGCTTTCTTCATTTTACATAAACAAGTAAATATGCAAAGGGGAGCGACCACCTGACAGATGCATAAATGCACCTGATTGATTTACTTCTAATTTTCATGAAATTGGCCCATTGATTTGCCCATTTTATTTAGATTTTATATGCTTTATAATGCTGCACAAGATCATCGAGAAATTTGAGTATTTCTGCATTTCATGTCAATTTATTTGTTTGCATAGTTCGATTCTGTTAGACCAATAATTATAACTTGGTTTATGATTAAAATATTTCGCCCGACAAATTTAAAATAAACAAATGAAAATTCCAAAGTCGGATGTGAATCATACGCGATCAAATTTCCAGCTGCACAAACCTGTTTGCAATTAAAAAAGAGTAATTACAGCTTAAACTGAAAGCGATGGAAAATTCAGACATTTTTTACGAATCATATTATGAGTACATTCAAAGACATATTCATTTCCCTTGATATTTGGTATTATATTTTTATTCGTTTATGTATTACATATAATCTGTCAGGTTGATGCGAATAAAGTCGGAAAGGTAAGTTTTATCTGGAAAATAGTAGTCTTCTATTCTTTTTAAAAAATGAACACAAGTTTGTATTTCCTGAGACTTCCCGGATACGAGTGAGACGTTCACGTTTTATTGAATAATGTACGAAATCGAGTCAAAGCAGAGGAGACTTGTTATTATTTGTGTCAAAGCTTTTCACTTGGACATTGCAGTTATTCCACTTCCAAATTTACCAGATAATTAAATATTACATAAAATTCATTTTATGAGAGCAAGCACCTTTAAATCTTTCTATCCCCAGGTTACAAATAAGACTGTTTATAAAGCCTACGTTAAACAAAATGTTATGATTAGTCATTTAGACAAAAATGGAGCACATTAAAAAAGTCTCAATTTATAAAGAATTGGTCTTTCGGAGCAAGAATATATTGTCCTTTTAATTATTTAATTCTGCTAGGCAAAGCTCTCGAGAATTAATCAGATTTTACTTGTAATTCAGTTTTAATTTCGGTGTTTTACGATTTTTCGTAAACTGTAAAATAAGGCAAACATCAAAGCCTATTAACTTATAATGCGCGATGTTTGATGATGTCAATAGCGCGCTTTTTACTGTTAAACGTTGTTTGACTGTGAATGTAAAGTCATCTTTGGCCAAAAATATGTCGATTTGGTTTTGCTTAACTTGTTTAGAGTAAATCCCGACTGTTATCCGAGTGTTATATTATATTTTACTTTTGATTTAAGAAAAGAGTATCGTTTAGTTTAGTTTCCTCAAATGAAATTAATGTTTTACTTTATATACAGGCAAGCACAGTTAAAAATTAAATACTTGATTCATTTGTCTAAATAATAGTTTCATAGAATTCAATCCAATATTTCATTTCTTTAATCTACTTATATCAAACCAATCATCATAGAGTTACTTTTGATAATCTAATTTAAACCCATTTTATTAAAATTTATACCCTCCCAGAACTTTGAATGTCTAATGACTTGTCGTTTTAATCATGGAATGCTGCGTATATTGAGCTCAGATGACACAATTGTCTCGGGCTATATTATCTGGGAACTCTCGTGAATGGAGTACAACCGATTGAATTCAAAAATTTTCATAGAAAACTTACAGTAGAATATTTTGCTCGTTCTCTCTAAGCGTGCCTAGTAAATAGGATTTCAGATTGCCCATTGACAAGTTAAAACTAATACGTTGTAAATATTCGTGGAAATATCCCCTTTTAAAATATTTATCAATTTCAAAATCAAATCCCCTTCAAGATTTTCGGAACCAAAAATGGATAATTGTTGTTTTATTGCTATTTTAGTATTTCCTTGGGACAGATTAGGAAAAAAACTTTGCTCTTTAATTTTCTACTTAATGACTAAAAGTCAATATGTTATTTCGGTTGAAATTTATTTTATTATTTGCAAAGAAAGAATTCACAATTTCTCATATGTTCTTAATTAATGGCAGTAAATATTCAAATAAATGGAAAATATTATTTACAAAATTGAGATTTTTTTGCTTTTGAAATTAAGACTACGGATTCACCTTTTGCATGAATTTGAAGTGAATGAAACTATTAACAGTTTCTTTCTTTGTTTCGCTTTACTATTTCAATTCCCATTAAAATTAACTGGCGAATTTTTTTAAAATTTCTCACTCCACAGCTATTTCTAAATGGAATTGAATCAAACATATTCGGTGATTTTACTTTCACATTTTGAATTTCAATACGCGTTGTTAAAATCTTCTTGAATGATTGCTTAAACGCCATTGTTTTATAAGATAGTAATATTGGGTTAATATTTAATGCTTCTTTAAAATTTTACATCTGGTTTGTAGTTTTATTGATTCAACAACGTTGCTCATTTCCTTATTTCATTTTTCGAATTTAAATACTAGTAGGAACTTTGATAATTCAACTGCACATTTTGAAACGATTAGAAGTTGTAGATCAGGTTGTAATAATTTTGAAAATAATAGAAAGTAAGTTTTGAAGGAAATTTTATTTTTAATAGTAAAAATTATGACAAATTGGTATATAAATAAATCTTTGCATTTAACTTTGTTACCGAGCTTTAATATCCAATCTTTATAATTTTTTTGCTTAAAGACTTAAATATTTTCTACTTTAAGGTTTTCCATATTACAAAAGCAAATTTAAATATTATTGATCTCCACTGTCCAATTCATTGGTCCATAAGTTAAAACAATTTTAAATAATTTTCTTTAAAGCGGCTCACATAAATATTTTTGAATAATAAATAAAGCAATGTTTTCCCCATAACGCTGCTAATTTTCAACCCCTATAAGCTTTTCAAGTGCGACCATTTAAGTAATTAAAACTTCACGTCACCACTTAGATGAACATCGGGTATCGAATATGTTATTTCCTTATACCTTTTGATTTTCGAGGAATTCCTCGATTACTAATTTTCATATATCTAGAAAAACTAAAGTAGATGTTTGTATATTCAAATACTTAATGGAACTATAGTTTATCTCATCAATTGCAGTTTTCTTTCACAAATGGGGTTAAAGAATTTTACTATCAAAATAGATTGCGAAGACCCTTTAATAACAAGATGAAAATATTTTCTTTTAATAATAATATAAAAATGTGATTTTTACACAATACTGCTCCACGACGACTGAAAATATCTAGTTCGATCAAGATCTGAAGGGGAATTTAGAGTTTTCAATTTTATTTGATATTATATGAATGATAATTTATGAAATTCTTGATTTTGTCTTTTTCAATATGTTAATAAATGGTTTATTTAGTAGTATAGAAACTATTATGTATATATTAGCACTTTTAAATAAAACTCTAATGCAAACCATAGTTGATTAAATGAAACTTTCTTAATGCCATTTTCATAGGTTGTTGCCCATTACGAAAGAGCTGTGGTTTTTCGACTTGGTCGATTATTCGCTTCAGAAGCGCAAGGCCCAGGTCTTATTTTCCTTCTACCCTGTCTGGATAATTGTCGAGTGGTTGATCTTCGAACCTTCACATTCAATGTCCCCACACAGGAGGTTCTGACAAAAGATTCTCTCACAGTAGCCGTTAACGCTGTAGTCTATTATAGAATCCGTAATCCTGTTTGTGCTGTGGTGAATGTAGAAGATGCTAATCGATCCACGCGTCTTCTAGGACAGACAACTTTACGGAATGTGCTTGGAACTGTTAATCTGGATGAGCTACTAACTGCCAGAGAAGACATTGCCATTCTCATGCAGGTACGTAATATTTGGAGCATAAGATTTATTAATTTAATGACATGGTTTTATAGATCAATAAATGCACAACAAATCATTTATTTTTTGCAATGCCCCTTAAATCATAGTTATGGATGCCAAAGTGGTCTCATTTATTTCAAAGTTCTTTTTAATTATTATTTCATGCAGTTTATTTCTATAGAACTTTCCAGAAGTTATGCAATAGTAGATCTTTCTTTAAAGATCAAGTACTAATCGATTTTAAACATTTATTTGAGTCATTTATGTAATAAAATATGTAAACGAAAATTTTTTGGCAAAATAATTACATTCATTACCAAAGAATTCATGTAATACGTAACCATAACAGTTTGTATGAACCCGAAAAATTACTTCAATGCGAATTGGGTAAAAAATAAGTAAAAGAAGAACTTTTGCCGCAGTCTCATAATTCTACTGAAAAGAATCATATGACATGCCAAATATTTTTTTCCTGCTAAGTCAATACTGTTTACTTATAGCAAATTGTTCTTGAATTATTGTTTTGCGCACACCGAAGGTGTTGATTCTGACGTCTTTTCATATATCCGGTGTTTACTGACATTTGTCATATCCAATGCGATTCTACCTCTGATTCACATTGTTGTCTTGTTGAATAGTCCATTAATGGTTATGAAATGTACCTAAGGTGATTTAGACGAATATACCTCCATTTCTATGGCCCATTAATATCAGAATAAATAGGAAATGAGGTTATCGAATTAATAATTATTCATAGTTATAAACCACTAAGTTATAAATGTTTATTTATAAAGATCTTTATGAATATGTTCAACATAGATGTTTCTTTCTGAGTTAATTTCATTCATTTGGAAATTCCTTGAATAAATTATGCCAATAAATATTTATTACTTCTCTAGAAAAGCATTTCAACAATTTGATTTATTTAATATTAAACCATTGCTTATTGGGCAACAAATTTTCTGGTTAATTTATTTTAAAAGGTATTAGAAACTTTGTCAAATTAGATTAAGTAAGTCTGCAAATGCTTTCTCTTTAGCAAGTAAATGGAAGTTACTGCAGTTTATTGCCTGCCTTTTGTGGTTTTGGATGACGTGAAAACCCTTTAATCTGCAGATTTGCTGAGCTCATATTAAGCTTTATCTCATTACCTCATTTTATCTGGTCTTCAAAAATGAGTTTTGCAATGCGTTTTGCCACATCTCCTTCCAAATAGGAACAAAATTTGGCTATTTAAAGGCAGCAAAGCTATTAAAATGAAGTCAAATCAATTTTGATAAAAAATGAACGGCTTGTCGTTTCTATTTTTAGAAAAAATGAACCATTATTTGTAAGTACCACGAAAATATTTATTTGGATTGTAAGTCTGGAATGTGGTAACATTTATAAAAATATATGTTCGCTTCCATTACTTTAGTGGGGCTCTTATTTACTTATGAGTACTGCATATTCTTCAGAACAACATTTTTACATTTATCAATCAGAAATTGTAGAAATTCCATTGTAAATTTTAAGATTTTAACTGTTCGTTCTACTAATAAATGCGAATATTTTATAATTTTTAATCACTTTTAACTTTGATTGCCCAGTTTTGCTTTATTTTTGAAATCATTTAAAATAATGCGCTACAGAGTGTTTATATTATCAATGTTAGATAATTGTAACTTTCAGCTTTAACTGTGTTGCTCCTTGCTTTCATTTTAAATTTAAAATGTAAAGGATTATTCAATATTTGATTCCATATTTCGCTTCAGCTCTCCAGCACATAGTCAATTCAAAATTTGGATTAGTTTGCGGTACTATTTTGCCAACGTTTTATGTTTTCACCTTGAAAAATAAATCATGCCTAGTTCGAAAAACTTGAAAACTATTTATTGCCTCACTGTCTGTAAGCGCATTTTTCCTTAATATCTAAATGCTATTCCTTCAAATTTTCTAAATTTCAAGGAATTTCAAGGATAATCAAGATACTGATTACTTTCAATGACTGTTTAAAATTATTTTACTCTGAAGTCATTACTGATATTTGGTTCTGTTAAATCAAAGGTTTTACTCTTTTAATTGTTCATTTTGGTAATAAAACAAAAGCAAAATTTAAAATTTACCATAGACATGAAACTCAATTTGTCCTCACTAAGTGAAAGCGATAAAAATGAAGCTATTTCAATTTATACTAATTTCATGTATTATCTTTTAGACCAATCTTGCCCATTTTAAGTCTATGAGATTGTTGAGACGCTCCCACCAAGAGGAAATTTCCCATCAATGTTAATTTTAATTTGTTTTACTTGGGGTTCTAATTTTATCATTTATTCCTGAAATTGGGATGTCCTTTTGCCATTTTCATTATTAAACTCCTACAAATTAATGTTAGTATTGATACTTTAGGAGTTAATCTAAACTATACTAGATGCCCACATCAAGTACTGTGGATTCCAATAATGGTAACAAAATACAATAGCCATAATAGAGCCAGATAACTACTGGTTTAGTAGGACTGTGTATAAAATAGATAATGGTAACAGCTGAGAGGATCACATAGAAGGTGGGGGAGGGGGGCTTCAGCACTGATCGGGAACATTCCTGGCCCAGACGTCATTGAAAAAAAGGTATAACAAGGTAATTACCTGTGAGCACATGACAGCTTCAGTATATGTGTAGGTCCGTGAGTGCACAATTCGGAGTGAGCTCGAACGGGCTTAGAAATACCGCCACAAATTAGCCTTAAATTCTATCTTCACAAAGTGATGCGTCACAATACGAGGCCGATATGGCTTGTTTTAGTTTCTTTTCCACAAGACCACTATATTAGCAAACGCGCTGCTCAACAAATTTTTAAAGAATGTAAGATTTTGAATGCTTTGCACCTTTTTTGGATATTAGGTACCTCTTTCCATGCAGAATCATATCTCGGATTACTTCTTTAATGTGCATGACTTTCATTTATATTCAATGAATGAATAAATATTTTTGACAAAATATTTAAGCGAAGTGATCTTTTTGTGTTGTAACTATTTCTTGTTGCGCGTACCAAGTATTGCTTTAAAACATGGAAAGGGATAAACTGTAATTAATAAAATAATTTAGGAATTCTAATAAATGTAAATAATGTTGCCATGTTGATTGCCTCTATTTCTTCATATTTTTCTCAAAGTCCCAGATGCATCAATATATAATTTCTCACATATCAAATATCTCTAATATTCGTACTTTTCCTAACCACGAATGTTTTTCCCATTAGAAATAATCGTGTGGTCTTTTAGGGAGTGCAAAGAGGAGTTGCAGATTCACTTTCTGGCTTTGATGCGTCAGTATATGTGTAGTACCTGGAAATAATTCCGGACACAAGCCAATTCTTTGAAGCAAATAGCCGTATTTAGACTAAATGGACCACTCTTATAGTAACAGTGAAATAAATAATCGATAAAAATGAAGAATTTGAATGATATAAAATCTATTTGTTAATTTTCTCTCATTGAAAATTAGAACAATAAAATGTAATTGTTCTTTATGTGATGAAAAAAGAAAACAAATAGAACTCAATTTGAGCAGTAAAAATATAAAGGTGCTAAGTATATCTTTGCATGACTATAATGAGGAAAAATTTCTCTATTCTCAAGAAATTTAAGTGGTATTTGAGATTCCAGTTAGCAGATTTAAAGTCAAGACAAAATCAAAGAATAGACACTTTCAATAACTAAAGCTTATAAACTAAATGCTTTCCTCATAAAGAAACGGGCACAATTTCTCACAAACATTTAACATTTGTATAAAAATTAGTAATAAATTATCAACACACTAAAGTAAAAATGGTAACTGAGTACATTTGCAATTATAAAGTGGCAATTGCTCTCATTTGAATAACTGCATATTTCAATTGCATCTAGGAGTGCCTAGATTCTGTTACAGAGGCATGGGGCGTAAAGGTGGAGAGGGTGGAGATCAAAGATGTTCGACTTCCTATCCAACTTCAACGAGCGATGGCCGCTGAGGCAGAAGCAGCACGAGAGGCCACCGCCAAGGTGATTGCAGCAGAGGGCGAGATGCGTGCCTCATCAGCCCTCAAATTTGCCGCTCTTGAAATCAGTCAGCATCCAATAGCGGTTCAACTGCGTTATCTACAAACCCTCAACACAATTAGTTCTGGTAAAAAGTCCACGATTGTCTTCCCGATTCCTATTGAAATGCTCAAGTTCTTCATGGAGAGTGGTGTACCTGTTCCGGAGGAGCTCTTGAAAGCCGCTGGTGTAGAAAAAAATCCCCACCCCTCGCTTACTCGAGATGATGACCTTTCTAGTCTCTCCAACGAGCAGGTCTAATAGTATCCCATCCACATCCGCTATTAAGTAAGATCCTTCCTGCCTGTATTGTAAACTGGCTCCTGTGCAAACGAAACAAAGTATATAAAAGACTACAGATAAATATATTTCATCAAGTATTTGAATTTCACTGTCTTCCTTTTAGATAAAACAAATTGTTGGTTTTTCCCCTAAAATTGGGCTAAATTTTTCAAAAATCACATGATATAGTTCATGTTTTCTCACGTAATTCATTAGATCAACGTTTTTTATTTAAGCATGCAAATAACTTCTTAGGAATGAAAAATTGACCCATAATGTTATAAATGTTATTTCACATAATAATATTTAACATGCTTTACGAACAATTAATATATTAGGAATTATAATCTCGATTCAATTTTTATGCCAGACAGTAGAGCATTTTATCATTTAGATTATGTTAAGGTTCCAATTTGATCTAAAACTATAGATCCTATGTTAATGATGATCACAACTTCAGAGCACTTTATTGTTCAAATAAAATTATTTTGGGAAAAGTGCCTACTATTAAACAAAAGGAAAATGTTAAATGGGGTGTTTCTTTGGGTAAAAATGTAAATGGATTGGATTATTTCGAGTTCCATTGATCTTCTTCGTTCTTTGTTAATGTAAACTAATATTGAATACCATTGCAAAAGTTAGTAATTCATACTAAATAAAATTTCAATGTATTGCATAGAATGTAATAACTTGCTTTAAGACTGGAAATAATTAGGCCAATTCATTATTTTTATTATTGATATTTGTGTTGAACATAAATGCTCAATTTAGGCTAAATTTAATGTCTCTAATGAAAAGTCTAACCTCCAATGAAGAACTAAGAAAAGAAGATAGAATGTTTAGATTTTGGCATTTAATTAGATTTGATGTAAATATCTACTTCTAATTTTAAACATGTACTTTTAGTGTTTAACGAGGATATCGAATAGTGAGAACTGAACTAAATTTCGGAAATGTCCTTAGCTCTTCTTTTCCTAGCAGGAATCGATTAAATACAAGCTTTCTCGTTTGTAATAGTTTTCTATCTTCAAGGTTTCTTAAAACCTCGGTTAGGCTCATTTCAAATTGTAAAACAATTTATAAATAGATTATGTAAAATTGCAATAAAATTTGTTTTAAAACGAATGGTTGACGTTAAACAAACCTAAACTGAGAAAATTGTGAACCATCAGCACAAATGGGAAAAATTCCACCTTGAAAACCCCGGCGGCTTCGACTATTTATATTAAAAGAGAAGAAAATTTGTTACATAATTTGACGGCATCAAGAAATATTTTTATTTTAACATAAAGTAAAATATGGGAATTAGACAGCAAGTAGACAGAAGCATTTGAGGCTGAAAGTATATGCAGTGGAGTGCCCAACTGCCCAACTGAGGAATCACACGCAGTCAAATAAATGGTGGAACAGGAGAGAAGCTGCAGTGGCGTAACTGAATAGGTTGGTTGCGCCAACACGGATGAAAAATTATGCAAGCACTTTTGAAACTTGGCTTTTACTTAGATTTTTGTCCACTTTTTGCAAAACAAAATAATCAACTAAGGCGTTTACTGCCGAGGCAATTGAATAGTAGCCGTTGAATGCGACAGACTATGAAATGGTAACATTCTACCTCAAAAGATGTATGTATAAGAATGTCAATTCTTCAAATTTTGTTGGGATCTTGAAGTATTTTCTTTTACGGTATATATAATGTATATAGTTTGGTGCTGGAAAAGCATAGTTTTAAGGAATGGTAAATCGATAGGATTCGGATAAAATTGAGCTTATCTGTGATGATTTCAATAACAAAACAGATAATAATTAAAATAAAATAATAAGGTATATATATATATGTTTCCTCAAAATGGAACTATTTACACTGGCATTGATCTTCGGTTAATTGAAAACGTTAATAGCCCTATTGTCTAAAATGGTTTTTATTTCAAACGCTCGAAAATTCGTAGCTTTAATAAGTACTTCTGAATTCCTTTGCTATTTTTAAAGACCCTGTTCCAATTGCGTGATAGAATATTCAATTTTTATTAGGCAAAAATTTTACCTGGTGTAGACCTTTTTACTGTCCTAACAAAAAATATACATTAATTTCAAAATGCATACGTCAATACCGACTTAGCATTACCAATTATTTTTTAATATTTATTCTGAGAAAATCCTTTGAAAACCATAAAATATCACTTGAGATTCGCTTGCTTAATAAATTTTAAAAATCGCAGATTGTGTTTTATTCAAGAATTGAGAAAACAATATTTATTGACTGAACTCTGAAATACGACTTCTGCCTATAAAATGAAAGTTATACGATGTGCTTGTTTCAAATTTTAAATGTTTTATGAACCGATTAATTTTTTGACTTTGTTTCTTCTTTTCTACATCCCATTCGTTTCTTTAAAGGGTAGCAATTTAGTGATTTCGTCATTCAAAAGTTTACTGTAAAATACAGGCATATTTCGCACATTGATAATGGCTTAATTAAATTGAAAATGTTGTTTATATCCAGCAATTTGCATTCTTCAAGAATCGCAAATAAATTTATAATTACTTTATATTTCTGATTTCAGACTTTTCTCTTTGTTTCACACGACTAATTTCTATGCTTGAAAGTACTTACTGCGTAATAATTCACGATAATTTTATTTTTTTTAGACAATTTGAATAGTTTCTAAGATTTTAAAAATAATCATTTGGTTAAACTATGGTAAATAAAGAAAAATTATCAAAAAAAGTCGGTCTCAGATGGGCAAAAGAATAAGAGGTGCCTCCTTGGTCGATTTCTTCTTTATGCACTTTTTGTTTCAAACTTGAAAATTTTATGCGATTGTTCCATGAACCCTATCAAACGCTAAATTAGTAATAGACACATTCAACTAATGCATTGAAGTATCTTGAGTTGTTAAAGTAAGAACTAAAGTATTATCAGGATGTTTAATGCTTTAGATAAGACGTTGTTCATCTTTACCTCTAGTTATTTGAGTACGAAAATTGGATCATTAAAGCTTGCTTCATATTTTAACAAGACTTGTGCTAGTAGATCAATCATACTGATTAAATTGAAATTTTGTTCAAGTAAACACCTTTGTAAGTACGATGGTTCATTAGTAATGCAAATAAAGCATCAAGTCTAGTATTTTAACGTTTGAATTTTCATTTTTTTCTTGCTCAAGAGTTAAAATAAACAATGTTGATAGTTTCTATAGTGTGTTTCATCATATAGTATATATTTTTGAAACAATGCATTATTTTCATGAATATTGTAATTTAGAATGGGTATGCTTTGGGTGCCATTATTCTATTCAATTTACACTACTCTGTGCAACTCTTACATTTTTCGGTAAGTGAGAACCTGTCCTGAGAGAATATAGGAAAACATTTACATACTAAAGCAATTTTAGTTAGATGTTATGAAATTGTATAGCTGCGATGCATGCTTTTTCATGTCTTTCTATCATTACTGCCTGCATATAAAAACTCATAAATATTTCTACTTCCTAAAACTGTAAAGTTATCAAAACCTAAAGATACAAGAAGTCTATATCATCACCCCATTTCTTAATACTTTTCCTTGCAATAGGAATAAATTTACTTCAGCTTCCTTTTGAGCCTAAATCTTTCACACTCCCACCACAATTTCCTGTTATCTCATACTTACCTAGTGAGATTTAAGTGCTTAACTAAATTAGGGTTGAAATGTGAAAGTTTAAAATAAATTTCTAACAAAGCGGCAGAGAAAATTGGCTAGAGTTCAAGGGCAAAGCTTAAGGAAAAGCTTTATTGTTCAATTTTTTATTCATTCTCGACAAAAGTAAGAGTGGAATGATTACTGACATTTTAGGAAAGAAGACTAAAAGTGGGACAATCTAAAAGAAGGTAAATATGCCTAACATTTTGACGTTGCTGGTCAAGTCAAATGTGGTGTTGTAGATTAGGAGGACTGGCCAGTTGGCTTCGGTTGAATAATTTATTCAGGTCCGGAATGGTTTATTATAAGCAATTCACCTACTCTTAAATTATTTGAAATACCCTTACTTACTCAAAGCTCTAAACTGTTGCATAATTTATAAAAACGAAAGTAATGATCGTTTTATTTTCTCATGGATTTCTGATTACTGCTCAATTAATTCAAGTTTTAAAAGTAATTACTATTTTTTCTTCACTCAAGTTCTATAGCCAATCAAAGCTTTCTGTTTGTTGAGCAGAATAATTTTTTTCATTTTCTGTAATTTATCGCTGTAATTTATGTAACCACAACATTGTAATAAACGTAACATTGTTCCTGCTTAAGAATTTTTTTCACATGATGCAAATATAATTGCGAGGACATATACTTTGTATTAAAAAAAGCTATATATATTCTATTCTGTTGTCTTTAAGCTTATTATTTAGACTCTTTTATTGTTCAAAAAGTCATAAATAAAATAATTGACTATTTAGACATAGTTCAAGAATCATTTCAGCAAATAATGGATCAGGTAATTTGTAATGGTGATTCTTTACAGAGTTGCATTATATTCCCTCTTTGAAGTTATCCTCAAAATGTTATGGTTAAACTTCAAAAACGAAAAATTCAAGGTTTCGAGTTTCAGAATTCATGGTCAATTAAAAAGTGATATTTTCTATTTTTATGCAAAAATGTAAGAGGAAGGTTCAAATGAAAGCATTTTAGTAAGGAGACGATTTGGAGTCTTATAAGGTAAGATAGGAGCCGATCATGAAGAGGTAGGAAGTGCAGTCAGTGCAATAAGAATCTTGATTTATTTAACACCTGAAGGTAATAAATTTTCGTATGCTGTTACGAAGAGCTGGTACTGTATTATACCATGAGACTTACTTTTAATTTCTTAAATCCAATAATCATGGTTGAGGTCATAATCATGACAGTCAAAGCTTGCATTTCAGTCGATACAGTTCTGGATTTGATCAAACCATCTTGATTTGTCACTTATCATAGCCAAGAATGAATTTTGAAGACTAGGAATGAC